CAAGTTAAAAGAGTGAAGTCCGTTTACATGAGCAAGTTTAGGGACAACTTAACTGTAAACCAAGCCAGACTAGACTTCAGGAATAGCCCCCTCCGCTAGAGGGAGCTGGCGTTCCTTCTCAAAGGAGCTTGGTTTCACTATCTTAAACCATCCATTGGCTCCGGCTGCAGAATGGAGCTCAGAGACCCAGCCTAGGGAAGGGAACCAAAAAGGACATACAACAGCAATAGGGATGCTACGTATTGGGACAGTATGTATTCAAGTGAGCCAACTTAAGGGGCTATAAAAAATAATGACACTACGGAAAAGCTGGAAGCATTTTGCTGTTTGTGTTAGGTCTCAGCAAAGCCTCGCCATCCTGGCTTCTAAGGAACATTCGGACTATAACACACAATGTAAAATACTATGTAAATATGGCTATTATATAAAATATTAAATAAGCATGTAAAAGAAAACTGTCACACTATGACAAACAGAAACAGTCTATAAAGAAAACAACCAGTCGCAATGTGGAGAAACTAGAAATACAGTATGCAGGAGAAAACAGAACACCACTATGTGAAGAAACTTGTGGTGGTGGTTATGGGCCATGAAGCTGATTCCGTCTCCCAGCCACCCTGTATAGGATTCCCGAGGCTATATATCTTTGTTGTTGTTAAGTGCCATCGAGTCAGTTCCAACCCATAGCAACCCTGAACAGGGTTTTCAAAGCTGTAAATCTTTACGGGAGCAGAGAAAGCCTCATCTTTCTCCCACCGAGCAGCTGGTAGTTTCGAACTGCTGGCCTTGTGGTTCGCAGCCCGACTCGTAACCACTATGCTATCAGAGTTCCTTGTGGAGAAGCCAGAAACATAGTATATATTAGAGATAGCAAGGAGCACAAGAGGCTTTGTCTGTCCAATTACAGGTATGCTTCACTTTTACATGCTTCACTTTATTGCGCTTTAGAGATGCTGAGTTTTTTCCAGGTTGAAGGTTCGTAGCAATGCTGCACAGAGCATGTCTGTCCACACTAATATTTCCAGTGTTCACTTTGTGTCTCTGAGTCCTATTTTGGTCACTCTCACATTATTTAAAGCTTTTTCATTGCAGTTTGTAGAGTATTGTGTAAACCTCACTTTTTGATGCACTGGGGAATTCCAAAAGCCCACACAACTTTGCTTTCTTACAGCATTCTCTGTAGAGTCGTGGCCCGGAATGGAACTTGCCATGTGTCCGAGGTCTGCCGGTATAAACATGAGGGAGAACACGAGACTGTATTCTACGTCTAACTGTATATGTGGGGACTTCCAACGACTTCATGGGAAAATTACATTATCTTTTCATTCCATTTTTCTACCAACTTTTTTGCAGCCCCCTCTTAAATGTACAAACATAAAACAAGTGACACCAACAACGAAAGGAACCACAGCACACAGGTAGAGATGTGGGGGAGCTTTCTTGAGAAACCGTATCTGCTAGGATTTTTAATCAGGGGAAAAAATGCCCATGCACCAAGACAATGGTGAATGTAAGACTGAAGCCTGCTGTTGGCTCTAAATTTAGACCAAGCACTGTTCTGGGGACGCCCTGAATAACCTTGCTCAGTCCCACAGCCTCCCACCCTGGGCCATCGATCCCCATTTTACAGCTCAAGAGACTGAGGCTTCAAGGGGGTCAAGGGAGCCCACTTTAAGCAGCGTGGACTCTCGGCATCTTTACCTGGAGCCAGCAGGAATCCCGCCCCTGTGCCCCGGGCCGTCCTAGGTCAGACCCTGCACCCACCAGGACCCACAAATTGTATCTGTACCAGCAACCCTACCAGTGTGCAAAGAACATGGCGGGGGGACTCACTCTTTGCTATGGTTGAGTTGTGTCCCCAAAAGAGCCATGTGGAAGTCTGGAAGTCCTAACCCCAGTACATGTGACCAAGACCTTGCTGGGGAAGGAAGACTTTGCAGAAGTGATCAGTTAGCTTCACATGAGTTCATACTCATCCCACATGGCTGGTGTCCTTATAAAAGAGGAAGACCAACACAGGGACAAGGCCACACAGCAGGGAGGGCGAGTTGAATGGAACCAGGGAGGACCCTTCCCTAGAGTGGTCAGAGATCTGGAACCCCAACCTAGAGAACTAAAGATAACACATCGCTGTTCTCGAGAGACACGGGCTCTAGTTAGGACAGCAGTAGGAGACTAAAGTACCATGGTATCCGCCCACAACACAGAGGATATCCCGGCTCTCTGGTCTCCAGCCACATGGACACACCGCAAGGCCCTAGGAGATGGATTACTGAGGACACTGATGTGTCCAGACTTCAGGACCCAAGTGATGGACAAATTGGAGCGAATGTGGTACTTGGGAATTGTGTTTGCAGAAAGGGGAGACGTATGCCCTCAGGTGAGTTTTAGCTAAAGGAGCCTTCACTGCAATCCCCCCCACCCCAGGAACCAGGGAGCCCCAAGGACCGACCCATGGTGCTGAAAGCGGCCAAGAATCCCATCCTCAGAGAGAAGTAGATGCAGTCTCACGTCTTTGGCTGCGTTTTCTGGAAACAACAGACAGGCCTCCTTCATCTATGGAGGAACAAGCTGACCAGACCCCCCTCCAGCTCCTTCTAGGTGTAAGAGGGCTCCCGGCACAAGACACATATTCACCAGCGGACAAAGGGGGGGCAGTCAGGAAAACATCCGGGTTGGCGTGGATCTGTTACATGTACTCTTATGCATGCTCTGAAACCACACGTGTTGGTAATCTGTTGCCGTTGTGAAGTGCCATCGAGACGGTTCCAACTCACAGTGACCCTGTACACGGTTTCCAAGGAGCATCTGGTGGGTTTGAACTGGCGACCTTGCAGTTAGCAGTGCAGTTTTCATGCTATTGCGCCACACCAGGGTTCACATGGATGCAGGTATATAATTTGTTGTTGTTGTTGTTGTTGTTATTAGGTGCCATTGAGTGGGTTCTGACTCATAGTGACCCAGTATCAAGTGGCTGGTAGGCTTGAACCACCCACCTTGAGGTTCAAACCAACCTTGCCACACCAGGACCCTCTATATATCTAGATCTAGATCCGTGTTGGAAGAAGTGCAGCCAGAGTGCTCCTTGGATGTCAGGATGGCTAAGCTTCGTCTCTCATACTTCGGACATATTGTCAGCAAGGACCAGTCGCTGGAGAAGGACATCATGTTTGGTAAGGTGGAGGGTCAGAGAAAAAGAGGAAGACCCCTAGTGAGATGGATTGGCCAGTGGCAGCATCAATGGACTCAAGTATGGCAACAACAGTGAGGTCGGCCCAGGATCGGGCCGTGTTTTGTTCTGTTGTGCACAGGGTCGCTATGAGTCGGCACCGACTCCACGGCACCTAACAACAACATATCTACATCTATATCTATATCTGCATCTACATCTAATCCATATGGAGATGGAGATGATACGGAGTCCTGGGTGGCACTGCAGGGCATGCACCGCAAGGTCAGTTCCCTGAAAACCCTACACAGGGAGCTTATGGGTTGGAACCAACTCAACGGCATGTAGCAACAACCGCGTGTATGCATATATAATCATGTGACATATCTATTATAAACACACATGCTGTGACTGTGAATAATTCATCTCTGGAAACTCGTCCTGAGACCTAATCATAAACAACTCCCTCATCTCTAACCTTGAAGAAAAGACGTGCACTCAGCTAACCTCTGACCCACGTATAAGCTATAACGGGCTCTTCTCCCGTGACAAGATTGTGTACGTGCACTGGATGTCTGTCCATCCAACGCGACAAGGCAGAGCGTGTCATGTCTCAACTCTGACTCCCCCCAACAAGGGGACCATGCTGAGCACGCCCAGAGACTGTGCCCCCCCACCAACCTCGGACCCTCGCTACCAGGGACTCCTACCCAGTTCAAGTCATGGCCCAGCCTCCCTCCCGGGACCACCACTGCATATCCGATCTCAGCATTCCTTTATTTCAGTTTCTAAATCCCACCCTACACAACAGACCCCTTTTCTGGCAGCAGTGGTAGGATTGAGAAGTGGGCTGGATCCACGGTGGATCCCAGGCCCCAGTCTTGTCCTCATGGTGACAAGCCAGCTGGCCCCAGGGACACACTGCTCCTCACAGCAAAGAAAGAACACCCACCACCACACGTTTTGGCTACTTCTCCAAGGGACCAGTGAGGTGATCCGCCGTCACACAGATGGAAGGAGTCATGGGCGCTGACAGTACAGCTCAAACCTCAAAATAGATCTACTCAAGGTGACCAGGCGGTGGCCTCCATGACCCAGACACCCCACAATGCAGACCAGCAGAGGGGGGTGGTTTGAACCAGACAAGTAAGAGAATGATGAATTGAAATCAACATCTTGGAAACCAGCAGCGTTAAGCACCCAGAGAACACAGGGACTGTGTTCTGTGTGAGGGGGGGAATTGCTTGGAAGCTACCACCTGGAACTCTGAGGGTCTCCGTGCCCCAATCCTGGGTGAGCAGATGTCAATACTGAGAGTGATAATGGCCGAAATGATTTCTAAAACACTCCCGCCCCCTCGTCTCTTTGAAAACATCAAACGGACAGCCCCCTGCGCTGGGCAGCTTCATGGCTCACACACAAAGGCCCAGTCCCCTCCGCTGAGGATTCTTTATTTACCAAGCGCCCAGCTAAGCCAGGAAGAAAGAAAGGCGGGGACAAAGCGGAGGACACACATTCGGGGACTCCAGGAGACGCGTCTGAAGTTCTTCACACAAGCAGGGAATTGTGCACTGACCTAAATTCACAAGCAAAACCTCGTATTCCGGAGAGGAGAGAAAGGGGCAGCAAAGAAGAAGAAAGGAAGAAAAGATGCTTTCTGAACGGTTGTCGATTCTCGGGCCCTGTTTGTGCCCTCGGCCTCCACAGGCCCCTAATCCGCTTTCAACATCTCGGCGCGTCTCCAGTCCAGGCAGGGCGAGGCTGGGCACCGGGCTCTCAGCCCACGGACGGGAGGGTGGGTGAGGGCCAGGCCCAGTGCTGGCTGACTTACCGCCAGAGAGAACTCTCCAGAACCTTCCCCATGTCTGCGTGGTAGTACTTGGTCAGGATCAAGATGACCTGTGAAGTCAGAGAGAAAGGCAGAGGTCACAAAAAGGTTCTCAAAGTGGGACAGAGGGGCCCCCTTCCCAGAATCCAGGGTGTCTCATTGAGACGCTGTTGTTGTTATGTGCCATCGAGTCAATTACAATTCACAGCGACCCTGGAACAGCGAGCTGGTAGGTTTGAACCTCTGACCTTGTGGTTAGCAGACCAGTGCTTACCCTACAGGGCCTTACCTGTATGTGTGTGTACATATAAATATGTTGTGAAGTGCCCTCGAGTCAGTTCCAACCCATAGCGACCCTGTACAGGGTTCCCAAGGAGCGGCTGGTGAGCTTGAACCGTCAACCTTCTTGTTCAAACCGACTTTGCAGTCTAGTGCATTAGCCCACAGTGCCACACCAGGACTCCAGATACACACACACACATATGTTGTTGTTAAGTGCCATGGAGTCAGTTCCAACCCATAGCAATCCTTTGTATGGTTTTTGAGGAGTGGCTGGTGAGCTTGAACCGCTGGCTATCCATGCAGTTCAAAGCACCCTTGCAGTCCAGCGCATTAACCCACCGTGGCACACCAGGACTCCATTATATACATGTCGTTGTTACGTGTCATCCAGCCAATTCTGACTCTCACGGTGATCTTGTACCATGTTTCCAAGGAGCAGTTGGTGGATTTGAACTGTCGACCTTTGGGTTAGCAGCCCAGCCCAGGGCTTATCCTATAGCAACACACCCGGGCTCCAGTATCTCAAATACCAGCAGGTCACCATGGTGTACAGGTTTCAGCAAGTAGCTAGACTCAAGACAGACCAGGAAGAAACACCTGGTGATATGCTACCAAGAATCCTCCCGTGAAAATCCTGTGGATCGCACACAACACTGCCCAATAAAGCGCTGGAAGATGAGCCCCCCAGAGTGGAAGATACTCAGCATGCACAGTGGCCCCAACATGGACTCGGACAGGACCGGGTGACATTTTATTCTATGGTGTGTGTGGGGGGCTACTTATTCGAGGGCAGCTAATATGAGAAGCCCACCATGCCTCACCCTGTTAGTCTTCCTGGGAGGCTCTGAGCCATCTGAACCCAGAGTACAAAGGGCAAGGGGCTTGTTCCTACTAAGAACCATAGTCGGGCAAGAACCACCCCCACCAGCTCTGGGCGGCCTGGAACCCAGCTGGAATCCAGCAGACAGCTGACCTCCAGTCGGACATGCCACTCCTCCAGGGCAAGGGAGAGTGGACACAGCTGGGACTTGCCCATAAACCAAACATCCCCCTACACAGCTGTCTCCAGCCCAGGCCAGCGTGGGAGGTGCCCCTGAGGGGGAAAGTGAAATCACAGTGTGTGTGTGTGTTGTTGTCTGGTGCCGCAGAATTAATGATGACAACTCTAAGCACAACAGAATGAAACAAACTGTTCCCTCCCCAGAGCACTTTTTCCAAACCTCTATGCAGTGCTCACTACTCCACCCGTGGTCCCTGAGTTAGGCACTGGACTGCTAGACCACAAGGTTAGTGATTCCAATCCACCAGCCGCTCCGAAAGAGACCGATAAGGCAGCCTGCTCCCCTAAAGCTCTACAGTCTCAGCAATCCTGTATAGGGTCAGTGTGGCTATGAGTCAGAATCGGCTCGATGACAGCGGAGAGGGGGTTGTGTGGTTGGTTTGGGGAGATTTTGGTGTTTGGGGGTTTGGGGGATACAAAGGCCACAGAGGACATTTCCTTTTGCTAAATGTAAAAAGTTTAGATTCATTATAGTTGATGTAAGATGTAGATTTTAAATGCTTTGTTGTTAAGTTGGTTTGAACCTCCAGGTCGGTGGTTCAAGCTCACCAGTTGCTCCTCGGAAACCCTTTATCAGGTTACTATGCATTGGAACCAACTCGATGACATCTACCAAGTACTCCAGGGTAAAAAGAAGAGGAAAAAAAATTTTAAGCAAAAGGGAAAAAAATTTAGATAGAAAGATAGCAAGAGAATGTTAACTTTTAAGAGGGAAAAGAAGGTTTTGTTTTAAAATGGAATATCTGGTTATGTCTGAATATGAAAGATAGTAAATCCTGAAAATCATTCGGCTGCTTTCATTTAAAAAATTTTTTTCTTAAAGCTTTGTTGTTGTTAGGTGCCATCAAGGTGGGTCCAGCTCACAGTGACCCCACGCCCCACAAAATGAAACACTGCCCCATGCTACGTTATCCACATAACGGTTGTTGTTGTTGTTGTTGTTGTCAGGTGCCATCAAGTCAGAACCGACTCATAGCGACCCCATGCACAGCAGAACGAAACAATGTCTGATCCTGGGCCAACCTCAGTACCACTGCCACCCCCGAGTCCATCAATGATGCCACCTGGCCAATCCATCTCACTGGGGGTCTTCCTCTTATCTTTACGGGAGCAGAAAGCCTCATCTTCCTCCCATGGAGCAGCTGGTAGTTTTGAACTGCTGACCGATTCATAACCACTACGCTTTGGATCAAATTCTCACAGCCACTGTGTCAGCCCATTGCCCTGGGGGTCTTCCTCTTTGTCGCTGAACCTCCCTCCAAGCCTGGTGTCCTCCTCCAGGGACTGGTCCCTCCACTTACATTCTATCTGAGCTCCACTTGAAGACTCTCCAAAACAAAGTGAGGACAGTCACCCAAAAAATGACGGAACTAGGGAATGAGGCTTCCTAGCTGGCAGTGAGAGTCCAGTCGAGGCAGACCGATGTACATTCCCTGCCCAACTGTATGGGTTGTTCAAACATTCCGTTACCATGGGAATGCCATGAGGTGCACAGGGCCTACCCGGCCTGTATGGGCCTGGCATGGTATGGGCCTGGCCACCTTGAACCAGCAGGACACCTCTGCCCTGGGTCCTGGGGGCAGTGGTCCTAGGCAGCAGCAGGGTCATACAAGGAGGGATGCCGGCTCAGACAGGACAGCGCACTTAGAGGCCTCGAGGATAAAACACCAGGCCTTGTCTGGAGTGTGAGTGGGTCCCGCCCACTTGTTCCCACCTGCCTCAGTCAGAGCTGACACCCTGCGCACATGAGGGGACCCGCTGACAGGGCAGGAGGCAAGCATATTTTTAACCTATTGAATATTTTATCATCTTCCTGCTCCCAGTGGGATTCACAGGAACTGGAGTCTAACAGCCGGAAGACACCTCAAAGCCCCTTTCATCTGGCACCAGCCCGAATGGAGACCTGGACCAACATTAGATGCAGGATGCGCCCACCCAGCTCTCCACCACCGGGCACAGCTCCAGGGAAAGCTAGGCCTTCATGAGGTCTGCCCCCCGGGCAGAGGGGGGGAAAAGACTCAGACTTGCCTCTCCTGTGTCCCAGTGGGACAGACTCTCCACTTGCCTCCCTTTCTAAGCCCCCGACCCCAGCCTCTGCCCTTGCTCTTCCGTGGCTCGGGTCCTCTTTCTCCCACCCATTTCCACTTCCTTGGTTAACTCAGCTTTCGAATTTCAGTGAAATACACGTCAACTCCAGGAAGCCACCCAGATTTCTGCCTCCTGAATACACTCCCAGTCCCTTGCCACTCCCAAAGGGCAGGGCTGTGAGGCGATATGACCCACAGCATTGGTCACCGTGCCGGGCAGGCGAGGACCCTCCAAACACTCAGGAACCATCAGCCACGTGGAGAGAGGCCCCAACACCCCTGCCTACTTCCTTCCTGCCTCCCCTTCCAGCCATTCTCACGTCTCTGCATCTCTGCTTGACAACCAAGGCCGCCTGGGAGTAGAATCACAGTAGTGCCGAGGATTGCTTCTGCCCAGCGAGGTGGCCAGGAGGGTCTTGAAACCGGAGGAGAGAGCTGGCCAGTAAGGGCGCCTTCAAGGGAGTGTCCACTTGGGTGGGAACTGTAGGTTCCCTCCTGGCCCAGCCATGCTGTTGTTAAGTGGCCTCAAGCCACCCTGTATTGGGTTTCTAAGGAGCCACTGGTGGGTCTGAACCGCCGACCTTGCAGTTAGCAGTCCAATGCTGATCCTGGAGCGCCACACCAGGACTCCTGGACCCGACCATAGGTCTTCAGAATGAGTTGGAGCCCCTGAGTCCGAGAACTCGGGCTCGCAGGTCCTGAGGTCACACAGAGGTCCCCCTCTGTGACCCCCTGACCCCGCTCTCAGCATGCCCCAGCCACTGACTGATACACAGACCTACTGAAGCCCGATGTGGACTCAGCGTGTAGCTGGCCAGGTGGAGGCTCGGAGCCCAGGGAGACAGGTCACCCCACAGTGCAGGCTGGTCCAGACCCATGTCGCAAGGCTGCTTCCCTAAAACCCCTTGGAAGCGCAGACACTCAGTCGGTGCCCCCACGCCTGTGTTTCTCATGAGTCCCGGGAAGCTACTCTGGAGCACGCTCACAAGAGAAAGGCCTGGCTCCCGGGCCCCGCCCACTGCTGGCCCTGCTCCCACCCTTGGGCTTCCCGTCCAGCCCCCAGCCACTACACCCTCTCCATCACCATGTCTGGGCAGCTCATGTCCTCCTCTGCTCACCCGAGTGGCCTGTCCCCTGCATCCTACCAGCCACTGCCCTGTCCCCACAGACCTGGGTCACCAATCCCCATCAGCCACCTGCTCCCTGCCAGAAGAAACAGCAAACACACAGACCCATGCGGCACAAACGGCAAGCGAGCAACCACTGTCCGCAAGGCTGGCAGCTCAATCCCACCCAGGGCTGTATCTGTGCCCTACTGGTCACTCCTCAGGGTCACATCTTCATGCCACGTCCTCCCAGGTCTCTGCTCTGGCCACCACACTGTTAGACACAAGGCACTGGGTCTAACTTCATGGCTGCACACCCACAAGTCTGATGCCTACTTGCTGCCACCGCGTCTGCAGCCAAGGTCAACCCCTGGTGGTTCCCCCCACGACACGCCCACGCATCCACTTGCCCAGCCGTGGGAGTTGACCTCATACTGTGGAAGAAATCCCACCTGCACAGAACATCAGAAACGTCGGATTTGGGAGCCCATGGGGAGGAAAAGCACAGCCCAGAGACGCCTGGCACCCTGCTGCCC